CCCTAAGCATCGAGGATTTCGATCTTCAAAATGAAGATATCTCTCATAAGGCTTCTCTCGTGGAACTCACTTCTATCTATATCAGAAGAGCACCCTTAAATGACTATGGAGTTTAGGTCTTTTTTACTACTTGTCTTATTTTATTTAGTGTCTCTTCTATGTTGAATATGGTGTAGCTTGGGTATCCCTAGTATTTCCTTCACAAGAATTATCAATAGTTATTGATAGTAGTGATTATCTTATGCCATGTACTTTTTGCCAAGTGATGTTGTAGTCCCCCATATGTCTCACTTTTGTGTTGAGTATGGTGTAACTTTAAAATTCTTAAGTCATACTAGAGAGCTCTTGTATTGTCTTACATAATATAATAATATGTTGTTCGTTCCTTTTCGATATTGTCTCCTTATTTAAAAAGGATAAAAAATGATAATTAATGGTGAATATAATCTCTTTATCTATTATTTAATAAATACATAATCTTTATTGTGTCTCAATCATTGGATGATCAATTCCAAGGGGATTCAAGCTGATCTCTTCCATATAAGTTAATATTATCGAGTAACGTTCTGACATACAACTTCGGATATGTTTAACATCCTAGGAGGATATCAATCAGATCATAAAATCATTGATTTGAGAAATACACAATCTTTATTATGTCTCAATCATTGTATGATCAATTCTAGGAGGATTTGATTCGACCTCTTATATATAAATTAACGTCATCGAGGAGTGCTATAACATATAACTTCAGATATGTCAAATAAAAATCCTACAATGATGTCTTGTATCTTAACCACTTGAAGGTCAACCCTAGGCGGATTTGATCTGACCTCTTTCATATATGTTAATGTCACCGAGCAATGCTTTGACATACAACCGTGAATATGTCAAAATCTTTTGTGAATTTCTCTCAATCTATTAACGTCATCAAATAATACTATGACAAATAACCCTAGGAAGGTCTACCCAAGTTAGCCTCAAAGAGAAGTTAGTATTGGACAGTGTCTTCACTAAAAAGACTCTATGTGAGTATGTGGTTGATAAAGTCACCACTCATATAAATATATTGGTGGGCTAAAAAGTCTCAAAAAGCACATGGGATAATATATCAAAGAATGTCTCAAAGATGCATAAATAACTTAGTTTTTTCTGGGGAACAAGTTCATTAAAATGGGAAAACAAGTATCGAGCTTATACAATAATCTCTAATATATATACAATATCATTGGAGTTACATATATTCCACATCAGGTTCAAATATACATTCATTTTTTCAAGAAGATGAAATTAACGTTACACAAGCATCATCCATACAAGCATATCCTATAACTTATTCTTCCAAGATAATCATCAAGACACTATTAATGTGTTGTTAGACTACTAATAAGACACTGCTTTGACACCTTCCATCAGGGATGTTTGATATCTGTACACATCTGTATATGGATGCATATTGCCTTTAATAAAATATAACTAGACCATCGCCATCATCAGCCCTTTGCCCGATATTCACCGTTAGTCCTTCACTTCATGTCAGCCATCATCAATTCTTACTTGACTACTATTAGTAACACACCCCTCAATTGTCTCCTTCATTTCACTACCCAGCCATCGACTGATGCTGAAATTCCATTTAACAGTCGATCACCGCAAAACTTTCATTGTCAAAATTTCATCCCTCTACTGACAATCACCAACTCTCCTCCCAAGTGCTATTACTGTTATATTTTCTCAAATTGCCCTCTTATACAAGCAGTAGTTGATCTTTATTCTAGTAAGAGTTATCTATTAAGGGAATAATCACTTATCGTGACTTCTTTTACACAAAAGAGAGGAACTGAAACTTGATAGGGGATGCCGCCAATCTCAGATAGTGGAATGCCTCTAATGTAAGAAGAAAGTTGAGAAAAAGAGAATAGAAGGAGAAAATATTTCCTTCTACACTAAATAGGGTCACTAAATTTGGATAGAGAATGTCACCTATAAAAAATAATGAAATGTCTATGCAGTAAGAAGAAAAATGGGGGAGAAATGAAGGGAAATGCCAAAAATTTTAATTTCTACACAATAGAGGGGCACTGAATTTTAGCAGGGGATGTCACCTATTAAAAATAGTGGAATGTCTCAAATATAAGAAAGTTAGAAGGAGAAGAGAGAAGAGGAGAATGAGTAATTTGCCTCTTGTTATAGAGGGTACTTATAGGATGAAATTGGGTAAAACAGTTCAAAATTTTGGGGGAAATTTACCTCCAAATCATTTAAATTTTTTTAAAAAATATTTCTAAAAGTTTTTTAGGCCCACTCATAATAATTTCAGAATTAAAAAATAAAAAAATAATTTAATAATAATAAAAAATTATAAGAGGCTTAAAAAAATAGTTATAAAGGCAGCCCGCAGTTGCCATAAATGGCGATGCGTGACTTGAGAGGTGTGTTTGTGCCGGCGGCGCTTGCCGGTGGTTGGACGACTTGCAGGTTTGGCAGCCAAAACGTGTATGGGCTAAATTTTTGGCAAGGATAGTCCAAATCAAACATTTTTTTGGTCCACAAAACCGTTTTTTAGCATCCCATATTAAATTTTGGCACTTTTCGAGCTCAACGGAGCTTTTATAATCAATTTTGAGGCATTGTAAATATTTTGGAACGTAATTTTTTGACATTTTTAAAAATTCAAACAATTTTTAATACTGTGATAGGTATTTTTCAGACTTCTAGAGCTTCGAAGTTCAAAAATAGGGAGACTACTTATATATCATAAAAAATATTATCTAGATCAGACATGAATATTAAGGCAAAATCAAGCTGAAAACTTCCAAAATTAAAGTTGGGTCCATCCGAACTCTGATTTCAGCAAACTTATAATTGAACTTAACGTCTTAGAAAGACGCGACACCAAATTTGATCCAATATGAGGCCAAAAGTGTCCAACTAAAAAGGCGAAGCGCATTTGAAAGGTTGAAAATATAATTTGGATTACCAAACAATTTGTAAACATGACAAGCTTATAATCTAATCGAGCGACTTGATGAGATGAATCCAATGATCCCAAGATTGCGAAATTATAATATCTTTAAGACATTCAAATGTATAGTAAACAATTCATGATCAAGGGAATTAACATCAGCTGTCCATTCAAATCACTTACAATTTACCCTTGATCTTCCTTCTATTTACTGGTCATGTCACTATTAGAAAACTATAAATTGACCATTCATTTCTCAAGAGAGGGGATCCAAACAAGAAGAAAATGAAGATAAGGAAGAGAGTTCTCTACCATCAGACTTCTCCTCGACCATCGCCGAATTTTCACCTGACCACTAATTGTCGCCATATTATTGCCCGTCCATCGAATGACGCCGGACTTCCGCCCGACTGCTAACTAACACCGTATTTCTACTCGATCACGCACTAAATATGACTTCCATCCGACCTTTAGATTTCAATCCGACTATTGACTATCGTAATCTGATCGTCCTAAATTTCAAGGACGAATCAGACACTTGAAATTTACTCAAACATTAGTGGAATCATTTCAACTAGGTGTTATCCCGTGATTTTTTTCCTTTTCCAGGGTTTTTCACATAAAAATCATGATGTTTCATTTTTCTTCTGTTTGTGTACTTGATATATGTATAATGCTGAGACGAAAACTTCTAACTCTATCTCCACACATTCTAGCACGTAACAATTAGGGGTGTCAATTTTTGACACGATCCTCAACCCGATCCGAACCCGACCCAAAAAAATCCGGGTTCGGGTCAACCCATACCCGAAATGGGTCGGGTCGGGTTTGGGTTGACCCAACAACCCGAAATTGACCCAAAAGTGACACGAAAACTCATATTTGACCTGAAACCTGAGATTGACCCGTTTTTGACCCGATTTTGACCCAAAAATTGAATATTGACCCGATTTTTGACCCGAAAATTAACAATTTTAGGTCAACTTCGGGTCATTTGTGTCGTGTCGGGTTGACCCGGACCCGAATCGGGTTGGGTTTGGGTCCGGAATTCTGACCCATTTTTAAAGACGGGTCGGGTTTGGGTTAACCCGAATAGTGCCGGGTCAGTTTCGGGTTTGACCCGAACCCGACCCACTGACCCGAATTGACACCCCTAGTAACAATACTGTTCAGAGCATCGTATCATATGATCCTTACCTTTATCTGAAAAATGTAAAATCACATAATGAGCATATAGCCTAACAAGTAATAAAATTCTATCAGTGTTTTTAGTGCATTTTTGATAGATTTAAGAGAGATAAATTGATAGAAATCAAATTATAGAAAACATAAATAAGAAGATAATTACTTACAATAAATTAAACAAAATCTGTAATAATAATAATGGGTAAATACAACACAAAGATTTTTTTCTCTTCTTTCTCTTCTTTTCGTTCTTCAATTTCTTCATGACTAAGTAAGCAAGTGAGGAAAGTAGTTGGGTGAGACAAATATATTTATTACAAAAAAATTATATAAAAATATTATTAGTGACCTAACACCATTGTATTCTACTTCAGATGCTTCATATTTTTTAAATAAATTTGTATATTCTTAGGACTTTATATTTTTAATATTTTAATTATACCTAAAAATCAAAGAAGTACAATCAAATATATTATTTGAAGGATTATAAAATATGACTATCATATAAATCTTTACAACTTGACAAATTCAACTTTTAATTTTTTATTTTGAGATCAAGGTTTTATTTGGTATGATTTTTTTTTTTCTGTTTTTTAAAGTAAATTTTTATATAAAAACTAAAAATGTTATATTAAAAAATTTATTTTAAAAATTTATAAAAAAGTCGTCTCAAACATAATTTAAATATATATAAAAATTGTACCACGTTTTTTTCTAATGAGGGATATAAGTATATAACATTAATCTTGTAGCTCATTCTTGAATGAAATTTAAGCAGAATATTTCTGAAATTTTTTTTCTATATTTTTCTATATAAAATTGGTTGGACGGTGAAAGCAACGAAAAATCGCCGAAAGTGCGAAGGCTTGGTGTCCAAGAAACCGCGCTTCCATTAATATCTTGATTCCGTCCCCCTTTGGCCAACAAAAAACCTTGAAGCCCTAAAAATTCTCCCTTTTCTTTCTCGCATGCTTTACCATGGCGGAAGACAATTTTGCAAATCAGGAGCCTAACATCGTTGATGACGTCGATATCGATGTTCTCTTGCAACGATTCAGCGATGACCCCATTTTCGACTTTGATCTCGACCTCGACTTCGATCTCCTCCGCGAGTCCTGGGTTCCCGGATCCGACCCCCCTTCTAATGTTTTCCAGCCTTCTGGATCTTCTTCTCCGGTTCCTCCTACGAGTGTTGAAGCCCCATCGATGGAGCCGAGCTCTCCGGATTCCGTCTCTTCGTTCGTGAACTACATCGAGAACTTTCTTATGGACGATGTCGATTGGGGCGAGGGCGACGGAGGAAAGGAGGTCGGCGAGGATAGTGGCGTGGATCTATTCGCTGGCGCACTCTTTGATGGCTCAATCAGCTCAAAGGCTGATGTGGATACTCCTGAATCGTATGATGCGTCAACCAAGGAAGGCCATAGCAAAGAGAAGGAAGTCCCTGAGGTGGTTGTTGTTGAGGAGGATGACGATTTTGTCATCAAGAAACGGAGAAGGTATGCTTGATTCGAAAATATTCGCTTGGTCTTCCAAGCTTAATTACTTATCTTTCTTTCTGTTTCTTTAGTGTTAATAAAAATAAAGGAAAGAATTTTTTGTATTGGAGCTAAGGAAAAAAAAAAAAATCTACTGTAATTTAACTAGTGGAATTTGTAATTGTTGGCTTATGTTTATGCTTCAAATCCTCAGGCAAATGAGGAATAGAGAATCTGCTATGATCTCGAGGGAGAGGAAGAAGTTGTACATAAAGGATCTTGAGATGAAGAATAAGCACCTAGAGATAGAATATCGCCGCCTTGACTATGCTCTCCGCTGCTATACGGCGGAGAACATGGCGTTGCGCCGGAGTTTGCAGTTTCAGAAGAATAGGTCCTGCGGTGCTTCCGTGGCCAAACAGGAGTCTGCCGTACTCTTTATGGGTAAGGCATCCCATGAGCAATATCCAGGCCTTTGGATATGCATCTTTGAATTTCTTACAATTGTTAGAATATTATTAAAGGTGTATACTTCTTCAATATATTTCAGTTTTTGCGTTGTCTTTTGTTTGTTCTAATTTTTTTTTGTTTTTTTTTTCCCGAAAGAGCTGGAAATTTCCTGCATTTAAAAAATTGCATAGATTCAGACTCCATATTGGCAGGCATTAGATGCTAGCAGCAGGACTTTCCTGTAAGTTAGTACCTTGAAAATTAATCAGATCTACAATATGTTATTTACACAGCTCATCATGGCCTATTGGTTGAGAGCTTATGCTTCAACTAAGAGGTCCTGGGTTCGAGTCTTTGTGTATGCGTGGTGTGCGTGAGTTTGCCTTAATTGGCCTAAATGTCCCAAAAAAAAAAAACAATATGTTATTTAATTCACAGTCATCTGTAGCAGTGTTAATTCCGCTAGTTTTTGTACTGATTAAACTGTAGAAAATATAGAGCTTGCAAATTAGTTGATCACATCCCATCCAACCCATTTTCTCTTGGTATTCCTTTGTTATGTAAGTATAGAGGACTTCATTCATGGCTTATCTCATCTCTTATCTAGCTTAGCTTCCTCTTGCATTCGAAGCTTAAGCTTGACCCATGGGGATCCCATGTACCTTGTTTTGAAGTAAGAAAATTTGAGAAATGAGGACCCGATTGGTTATATACATGCATTTTAGAAAAAATAAAATACTTGGAATGTACATGCATGAATTTTTTTTTACACAGCTCACCTTGACTTGTTGGTTGAGAGCTTAGGCTTCCAACTAAGAGGTCTTGGGTTCGAGTCATTGTGTATGCATTGTGTGTGAGAGTTTGCCTTAAATGGCCTAAATGTCCAAAAAAAAAGTTTTTTTTTGTGTTTGTTACGATACATTTTAAATGCATTGAAATATGGTGGATGACAATCGGGGGTGGCAATGGCGTGTAGTGGTTGCGGGTAGAGAAGGTGAGGGTCACAAAACATAAGTTTTCTATGCATTTGAAATTCATCCATTAGGCGACGAATTTCAAATTTGTCGAAAGATAAATATTTTGCAGTATTTCAAATCCTCTACTCAAATGCTCCGAACAAAAATGAAAAGGAAGTTGAAAATCTTGAATTAATGGCTATACAAGTCATATATGCTGAACTATAATTCTTTTTATCAATTTAGTTTATATTCTTCAGTTCTTTTGTTTTCAATTTGAAGTTTGCTCGAACCTTTTGAATTGTGAATGTTTAAAAATTTTGGTTACCTTGTCATCCTGTTTACCTGATCCGGAGGTGCTATTTTACACTTGACAGAATCCCTGCTGTTGGGTTCCCTGTTTTGGTTCGTGAGCCTCGTGTGCTTATTTCTTCTTCCCAGCCTGCAAAGCCTGAAAATCTTAAGCTGCTCGGGAAGAGATCTCGCAATGGTAGTTGCAAGAACAAAAAGTAGAAAAAGTCTTATGTTGGGTAAAGATTTAAGACTCATTCTGCATAAGCTGAAAAGACGATGTAGAAGCATGAAATCTAGGATGAAGTTCTTTTTATTTCCTCTTCATGCTGTTCTTGCCTGATTTGAATTGTTCTGTTATTGGTTTTCCTTTCCTTTACTGTTATGTTTTAATTAGTACTTTTGTGCGTTGCAAAACATTATTGATGCTATACCTTACGTTGTTTTTAAATAATATTGAGGTTCTAGTTATGTTTTACGATAGCATAAAGTATTCCAGTTACGAACCCCTCTCAAATTTCCGTATGTTGTAACTGTGATATTAGCATATGCGAAGTATAATGATTTCTGAAGTACAAATATAGCATTTCTTGACAGTTTTTTATTTGAATATGAATCCACAGCTATTAGTTTCAGTGTTTCATGGTCACTCACTCATATTTTAACTTCCAAACAAAGGATAGGACTAGAACGATAAAGTAAAATAGACATTAGGCTTGGGTTCGTAATTGAAAAGTCACTTTTAGGCTTCATTTGTGATAGTTTTCTTAGATAGTTTTCAAGTACAAAATTTTTAGTTCAAGATATTTTTATATTAGAAAATTAATTTAAAAATCAATTAGAAAGTTGTATTGAACAAGGCCTAAAGTTGTTGATTGGGCTGATGATTTCAACTTCGAAATTGATTTCATCTTCAGCATTTTTTAAACTTGTTGCGTCCTGGAGTATTCGTGGTGGTAGAGAAAATATATAGTTTAGCATCTTAGCATTGTACAAAGATTTAGCACACAATTAGATAAGAGAGAGGGTGTAGCGTTCATAAGAGACAACAGAGTTTTTATGTGGAAACCCCTGAAAAGGGGGAAAAATCATGGGGCTTGGCCCAGTTTGAATGAATCCACTAGTATTTGCAGTCGATTATAAATGAGACCCTTCCTTGGGAGAAGGCTTTGGCTTGATGGTACAAATGTACATCATATAGAGTGCATTACATAGTGGGAGTTACAATAATATACATGTTTGTTTGGTTGGAAGGGCTGTAGTTGTCATGAGACGGGGGTCCGAAAGACCGTAGTTGGTAGGAGATTGGGGTCAGGAAGATCATTGTCTGGCAATGTAGGTCGGAAGGATCGTAGTAGGGGACAGAGGTCGTGAGGACCGTAGTCGGCAGGAGATTGGGGTCTAAAAGATCGTTGTTTGGTGATGGAGGTCGGAAGGACCGTAGTTAGTAGGAGACCGGGATTTGAAAGACCATTTTCTAGTGATGGAGGTCGGAGTGACCATAGTAGGCGACAGAGGTCGGGAGGATCGTAGTCGGCAGAAGATAGGAGTCTGGAAGACCGTAGTAGAAGGGTGGTACTTCGGTGGAACTCCGGGTGTCAGGTGGTGGCATGATGGAGCTCGGAGCCTCAAGTGACAGTCCGGCGGAAGTCTCCTTGATTTGGACTCATTTGGGCTCGGATTGATCCGAATTTGGTGTCGTTGGGTTCATATTTCTGAGACGCTCAGTTCGACGGTAAGTTTGCTGAAATCAGAGTTCAGGTGATCACAAAATTAATTTTTAAAGTTTTCCGGCTTGATTCTTGCCTTGAGATTCGTTCCCGATCAAAATAATTTTTTGATGACGTATCAAAACTAAACCTTGCTTAAGATATAATTAAGCGAAAAAAAAAAATAAAAACTCGTCAAAGTAGCCTGTTTAACAGATGACTTGTATGTTTAAGATAAGTCGCCTGTTTTACGGGCGACTTACAGTATTTTCTTTCTCTCTCGTGAAGTTCCCATTTCTCTGCCCTTATCACAGAACGGAGTTGGTGATAGCTGGCGGCGATATATGAGTATCCGACGATCTTCAACGAGGTAATAATTTTAAACTTGTATTATAATATTAAAATCAATAAGATAATAAAAATATGATATCAACGTGTATTATAATATTTTTCTTTATAAAAAATATAGGCTCGCCCCAATTAACCATTGTGTTATCATTAAAATTTAAAATTCATAGTAAAATTTATAGTATTAATAAAATTGCAAGGAATGCTTTAGCAAAAGAAAATAAAGTTTTCAAGTATGACATAATGTATTATAATTTTATGTTTATATGCAATATTGTATTTTAATTCACATAAATGCTCAGAGATGATGAGAGAGTAAGAGAGAAGAATTTTTTACTCTAAATTTTTTCATATTTTAGTGACACTATATTTTTTAAAGAAGAAAACATATTATATAAAATTAAATTATATATTGTGAGAGTTTGTGATAATTGAGAGAACAAAGTGGATAGTAAAAATGAAGCAGCACAAAGGACTCTCTCAAGTAAAACAACGGTTTAGAATCGCGCCTGGTTTTCATGAAAAATAAAAATGTTGAGTTATGTAAATCACTTAAGATTTTATTTGGTCCAAACATGTTAAAATGATGAAAAATAAAATTAAGTGGTATGTATGTAAAACTCCCTTAATTTTAAGAGAGCTGAAGGGAAATTAAAACGTTTGTAAGATTTAAAATTAATTTAGAAAGAGGTTTATATAAAGAGCATTTAATTATATAATTATAATTTTGATTGGAGCAACAAATTATATTTATTTTAAAATAATGACAATAAATAAATGAATAAATAAATGTTTTGTAGGAAGTGATAAATAATAAAAAAATTATTACGTCTAGTGTCCGGATTCGTCCGGACACCAATCCAGACGTGCCACGTCACCCAAATACACCGAGTCCCAGTGTATTTGGGTGACGTGGACCAGATGTACTTTGGTGACGTGGCGCGTCTGGATTGGATGTCGACGTAATAATTCGCCCAACTAAGGAGGAAGCCCCAGCAATCATACTTTAGAATGGCTCATGGAGCGGTGCTTGGTTCTTTGTTAGTTCCCATGCATTATATAAATGACAGTTCTCTATTCAGTAGCGAGAATGTAACCCACTTCTCCACCTCTTCCTAGTGGCGAACCTCCGCCACTCAGTGAGAAAAATGGCCCCCATTGCTTTGCTCACCAGGTCTGTGACAAAGGAGTTCGCTGATGACAGGAGAGGCCGGAGGGGAGGAGTTTGACGCCGAGGTGGTGGAGATCAGTGCGACAATGGTGAGCGAGGTGAACGAGTTGGAGGCTGCGCTTCTCATAGTTGCAGAGAAAGGGTATCTTGAAGTGGTCGGAAGCGGTGGGGTACAAAGGTCACGAATATTTGCAAGCGGGGGGGATTTATGTCATTTTTCCTCGGAAAGCAGCGAACCGTCAGAGAAGGGGAAAGGTCGCGGGAAGCAACTCTATGCCGCGATTTTTTTCTAACCCTGTTCGGCCGCAATCCCCTAAACGAAATCAAAATTTTAATAACTTTTTATAAGCAAAGCAACTCTGATGCCATCCAAAACGCACCCTTAGAGTTCATTATAACAACTAAAGGACGATCTGGTAGAAAATTTAAAAGCATAAGCAATTTGTCATTTTTCCTACAACAATATAAAGTAGCACAAATTGTATATTGAATGTTGTAGCAAACAAAGGCAAGGGTTTTAACCTTCTTGATCAAACTCGGAAAAAAATCGAGCGGATTGTTTTAACTGAATGGATAGTCTCACATCTTTGAGTGGTCTATGTTTATCTGAATATGCCAATAGCCTTGTTCAAGCTATATCTGTGTTAGCAAGGAAGGTTAAATGTGTAGTCGTCAAAGGCCAATGTGCACTCTTTAGGAATTCGCCGGGGACTCTTCAACAATTCTCTAAGAACTTTGTAAGAGCTCTTGGTGAGCTCTCTAGAAATTCTTTGTGGACTCTACGGGGACTTTCAAAGTATGTTATGGGCTTGTTAGGATTATTATGAACTTGCTTAACTTATAATCCGGCTCATCACTCGATGGGGTCATTTGTTATTCCTCACTGGATGGGTCAACTCATCACTTATTGCTCAATATTTGGCGAGCTTACTAGTGACTTGTCAATCACTAGACGAGCCTACTTATCACTTGATGCACACTCACCATTCGTCATTTGTCACTTGGTTGGCTTTTTCCCTACTTTTTACCTATCATATGATGGGGCCAATTCATCAAGTTTCCTCTATGGGCCCTTGACTAGTGGCTTTCCATATATTAATTATCCATGCAATTTTTTGTACTTCTTGGTTGCATATCTTTTAGGCTACACAACTCATGTAAATGAATATGTTTCTTTGTTTAGCTTTTTATTTGACCCTAGAATCTTATAAATAAATGGTCATAGGATAAATTTAGTAGAGGAAAACTTCATTTGGATGCAATTAGTTTCAATGAAAATTTTAAAATATGTATCTTTCTCTTTCACTTTCTTTCTTTTTCTTTTTACCTAGTGTTATGTTTTGAGTCTTATAAGTTTTGGGAAAAAAGTCTTGGTGTTGCCTATGGATAAAATTAGATTCAACATCTTAAAAGGTACCGTGGCCATAGATTCAAAAAATAAGTGCTTCAAGAAGCAGAGAAGTAGAATAGAGATGGAGTTTGCAAATACTTGGGAAACTCACTCTTGGAATTCAATAATGATTCGTCGGGTCTACTTGTTATGTCCACTAATTGGGTCTACTCGTTAGGCTAACCTTGTCACCCATATTCAACTCACCTAACAATTGAGGTTGTCAAAATAGAGTTCAACTTATCTAAAAATTAAACTCATCAAAAGAGAGTCTAGCTCATTCACAAATTTAATTCATCATGGGAGAGCTCAACTTATTTAAGAACTCGATGAATCAAAGAGAGGCGTCAAATCTCAGTATAATCTCAAAGAGAGACTTCAAATCTCAGTATAATCAAACACAAAGAATTTAGTGAACTCGTTCTTTTCTAAGAAAATTTTTTTCTTTATATTAAATATAAAAAATATAATAAAACAAAGGAGTATGAGAAAATTTAAAATAAAACTTTACTAGAAAAAAAACTATTTAGGGATCAAAGTGATCTAAGCTCAAGGTTAAAATTAAAAGTGATAAGACTACTCTCTAAAGATGAATTAAGTCTCCTAGGTAAATAGCCTGCAAAAGAGCTAAGCTTTCCAGGTAGATGAAATTTGTGCTTAATGAAGGTGTCTATTTTATTTTTAATTTGTTTCCCTTAGAAGATATATCCAATAATCCTAAAGAGAATAATCTCAAATCACTCAAAGAGATTCTATTCGTGGCAGGCACACTCATCACTCATCACTCGTTACTCGATGGGCCCACTTGTTCGGCCCACTTGACAAACTCATCTTTGGCATGGATAAAGTCTAATGACATAAATGATAAAATG